AGACTTAAGAAAGAATCACGACATGAGCTATTACTTTCTCGTCCTACTTCTCTTTTGGATACAATGGAATTTGCTAGATGTCATGAATAAAAAATTCAAGGCTTCTTTTTTACCCCATCCTCAAATTAGCATAAATCAAATCCTTCTAATCCATCTACCAAGATTACACCTCCTACCTATCTCCCTCCATCCTACCTCAATCCCACTCATTTGGCCTAACATTCTCTCACCATCCATAAACTTTCTAAACTCCCAATTCGCAAACTCTCCTGTTGAATTTAAACATAGACATGAAAAAGGCCTTGGTTTAAATTGTGATGCAAAATTTGGATCCCAACATCGCTGCCCTAATGTATTATACTTATTATTTGGCACTGACGATAGTGAATGTATAGAGTCCCCTCCCTCCTCTCTTGATATTGATGATAACCATGATCTTTCATATGAAATTAGTTTAAATGTCTTAGATAAACAATTTAATCCCCATTCTTTTCGTTTAAATGGCTCTATTAATAATCAAAAGGTTCATTTTTTAATTGATAGTTTTATCCATAATTTTATTCAAGTCAATCTTATCCACCAGCTTGCTTTTACATCTCAACTCATCAGCCAATTTAAAGTTTCAGTAGGGAATAATAATTTACTATTTTCCACGGCTAAATACCCCAATGTCATAATTATTATGCAAGACTACATGTCACCTTAGATTTATTCGTCCTGTCCATCCATGGGGCCGATGTTGTCCTGGGTATGCATTGGCTACAATCCTTAGGACCAATTTTACATAAATATCGTGATTTGACTATGCAATTTAATTATCAAAATCAACCACTTATGGTTTCAAGCGAACTACAATTATCCTCCAATCTCATTTCTTTCAACCAATTGTGAACCCTAATTTCTCAACCACCCCGTTCTTCATTATTCAACCTCATCATCTAAATACTGATCTTGCCCCCTCTACCTTTCAAGCCTTAATAAACTAAATTTTTTTATCTTTACTTCGAAAATTTGCCATTATTTGTTTTATGATATCCTCATATATAATCCTACTCTAGAACTTCATGTTGATCACCTCCTCCTTGTATTTCAATGTTTAACTACAAACAAGCTAGTTCTTAAATTAAATAAATTCCACTTGTCAATTCTCCATCAAATACTACTTACCAAGTCCAACCTCTTTAAAATATATGTACTCCTTTTCGGGTTTAACAAGCTATTATCGTTGCTTTATCCCAAATTATGCATATATTGCATCCCCTTCAACTGATTTACTCAAGAAAAACTCTTTCAAATGGAATGACTCTGCTTCTACTGCCATTAACAACCTCAAGATAGTCATGACCACATCCCCTGCTTTATCTTTACCAGATCTTTCAAATAATTTATTATTAAAAATCGATGCTTCAAACATTGGTATTGGAGCTTTTTTGCTACAAAACAATTATCCTATAACTTTCTTCAGCAAAAAACTGAACACTCAGCTAGCCCAATTTTCTACTTACTTGAAAGAATTGTATGTCCTCACTAAGGCCATTTGCAAATGGCATCAATCCTATTAGGCATTGAGTTCATTATTCGCACATATCATAAAAGTCTTGGAATTCTTCAAACACAAATCATTCAAACACCAAACAAAGATGCAAACTCTTAGACTTTAAATTCTCCATTGAGTATAAACGAAGTAAATAAAATATAATTGCTAAATCATAGTCTCGATTACCTAAAGAGATAGTTCCTTTTCCATGTGCCTTATTTTCACCCTCCACACTCACCAATTTCTCTTTTTCATTAATCAATGATTTAAAGAATGAAGCTCTTACATCTCCTGATATCCTTCGACTCACTTCCCAACTATCAAAAAGTGAACTCTCTCCTTCATATTACCAAATTCGAGACAATATTCTCTATATTTAAGGTTGAATTTATATCAGTAAATCTTCTTTAAAAAATTAGATTCTCACTTGTTGGCCACCAGGGTATTCTCAAAACCATTAAACGAATCTCTACAACTTTTTATTAGCCTGGGCTATATAAAATGTCACTAATTTCGTTAATAATTGTCTTACATGTCAAGAAATTAAAATTTCTACCTTGCCTCACGCCGGTCTATTAACTCCTTTACCCATTCCATTACAAATTTGGGAAGATTTATCTATGGATTTCATTATTGACCTACCTAACTCAAAAGGGTACACCACAATTTTAATGGTAATTGATCATTTGCTCAAATATGCTTATTTTGGCCTATTACAACCTAATTAATCCGTCTCTCGAGTAGCTGAACTTTTCACCAATATCGTAGTTAAATTATATGGCTTCCCTGGAACAATTGTCTCTGACCGCGACAACATTTTCTTAAGTCACTTTTGGTGTCGTATTTTTGCCTTGAGTGGCACCACTCTTCACTATAGCACTACATATCACACACAAACTGAGGTCCACAATCGTTGTTTAGAACAATAACTTCAAGCATTTACATCAAGTACTACTCGATTATGGTCCACGTTTCTTTATTGGATTGAACATTACTATAACATTTCCCTTCATATGGCTATTCAAATGACCTCTTTGCAGGCTCTATATGGTCGATTACCCACATCAATGCCCCCATATCTTTATGGTACTTCTGACATTTATGTTGTAGCGCCTTATTAATAAACTATGACACCCTTTTACAACACCTTCGTTAGAATATGTCGCAAGCTCATAACAGCGTGAAATTAATGATAGATTGTCATTGAAGGGATTTGTAATTCTCAATAAGAGATCTAGTCAGATTAAACAACAACTATTCAAGCAAAATCTTATTGTCTGCAGAACACATTCCAAATTAGCTAAATAATATTTTGGACATTTTCTAATTCAAGAGACCATTAGCCCAGTGGCCTACTTCCTAACCCTTCCTTCTAATGATCAACCACTCTTTGTTCCTTATATCATTTTAGGATCCCACATGATAAAGCTTCGTGGCCAATCTAACTATCAAGTCTTGTTGCAATGGAAATTAAATACACCAAAGGATGTCACATGAGCAAATTTTGTAGCACTCTCTTCATCCTTTGCTTCTCTCAACCTTGAGGACAATATTGTTCTTCATGGCGACTGGAGTGTTAAACATCAATATATTTCATTGGGTCCTAAAATGGTACAAGCAAATTGTGGAGAATGGACTACTAACATGAATGAACAACCAACAATCATCAGAGTCTACTAAAGAAGAAGAAGAATTCCAAAATAGCCGAGATTGGTAACATAAAAAAGTAATCTACAAATATGTAATGAGCTTTACTTTATTTTGTTCTTTTAGTAAGGTAGACCAAGTCTATTGTTACGCCTGGACCGGTCCGGTTCTACACCCGACGGCCCAAGGTCGGGCGGAACCAGGCGGAACGCGCGCAGGAGCGGGGCCCAAACAGCGGCTAAAACGCACGGGGGGAGGGAAATTTTTGAATGAGAGGCTGTTTTAGGAAGTCCATTACTGTCCTTTATGATTAATTTGTATAATTAGGAGTTTTGGGGGGATTGGCGGGGTATCTTGAATTTGAATTGTTTTGAGATCTAGGTTTTGGTGTCTTGGGCTCTTGGCTTCGCCGGAGATCTTTTGGAGAGTTTTTCCTTCCTCTCGAATTGAAGGAAAGCTGTATCTTGCAAGTGCTTTTCGTCCGTCATCGAAATAAAAGTGTTTGCAGTGTTTTTCCTACGTTTTCTCCTACGTTTTCTCTCAGGGATTTGTGCAGTTGGCTGTTTTACTGCTGTGGACAGCAGTTTTTCCTTTGGATCCTCTTGGTTTTGGTGTGAAACACTTGGAAATCCAAGTGTTTCCTATCATCTATCTATTTAATTTTAAGGTACGTATTAGGTAGATTATGTCTATCTTGTAAACTTGATCTACCTAAATAGTAGAAATAGCCCTTGTTGTAAATAAATAGTAATGAGCTTTACTTTATTTTGTTCTTTTAGTAAGGTAGACTAAGTCTATCTATTTAATTTTAAGGTATGTATTAGGTAGATTCTGTCTATTTTGTAAGCTTGGTATAGCTAAATAGTAGAAATAGCCCCTATTGTAATCAAATAGCATGAATGAAAATTACTAGTTTCCTCTCTTTCTTTGCCTCTCTTCTATTTTCCTCTTGGGAGTCTGCACCTACTCTAAAGGTATCTACCTCACTTCTTAGCCTCCAAGAAGCCTATCAAACAATTTGCATTGCTTATAGTCATATTACCTTTGGAGTAATTTTTCCTTCATAATTCTCCCAAATTAATCTCATATGTTCATCTTATAGGTGCATCTTATATGATCCATCATACATGCCCAAATCACCTAAGTTTATTTTTAACTAACTCTCATTAGATGCTACTAACCTCATTTGTATAATACAATCATTTCCATGCTTCATGATTACACTACACATTCTTAGCATTATCATTTTATCACACAAATGATGGGAGGATTAGAAGAGGGCAGTTATGAGGGATGCAAGGATAGAAGAAGAATAATGGTTGGTCAGTCAGCCGCACCTTCCCAATGTTACCCTTTTTTTTGTTCAACACCATTACCCTAATTCATAGGAGGTTGGGTTAGTTCTTGGGGAAGAGAAGGTACATTTCGGAGAAAGAACAAGGAGATCTACATTGCAAATTTCCAAATGGCAAGGGACTTGCTTGCCTCATTTATAGAGTAAAAACAGTCAAAGATGACCCATAATGAAATAATTGATAGAAAATATCTAACTATTGATTACCATAAACATGGTAGGCGCACTTAAGTGGTGGGTTTGAAACATCTAGTAAGTACCTAAATCGTATTACAAACATGAGAAACATATCTACAATTTACCCAAAACACTCTTTAGAGGTCAAAGCCATTGAACATAAGTCCAAGTCTAACAATATAATGAAACTTCGTTACAACTATAATTAACAAACAGTAAATAAGATAGTATGCTAAACATGCCCATTGCCTTTGTGATGTAGGATAAAGAGTCACTAAGACAAACCTTGAAACCTGAAACTGCATCCTGGCGAGCCAGGATGGAGCCAGGGTCATAGAGTGGCCTTGCAAGCCAGCTTTTAAGCAACCTTTTGCCAAATGCCGTCACACAATTATCTAATTGAGCATATAGTGTTCTGTATTAAAAAAAAATCATATTAGCGACTTATTTTACCAAAACAAAAAAGTAATTTCAATTTGTAGTCACCCTGCAGGGTTTCCATTTCTGTTCTCCAGAATCTCAAGGTTCTCAAGAGCAGGAGCATCAAGTATCATATATGGCTTTTGAACTCGTCCGAGAGAGCCCACGCATTGAAGTGCGTCAAATTTAGCACACTTGAGCAGAGTTTCATCCAGAAAAGCTTGCCTTAGATAAAAGAGGCACCCTCCCAAAGCAGAAAGAGCAAAGCTTCCATTTTGCCCTGCACTATCAAGCTCTAATAAAATGCAAGGAAGTCCAGGATAGTCTCCCAGGTTATGTACACCATCAACATCATCCATCATCCCTGATTTTCCAGAATGTTTTGATGGGCTATAAATTTTCTTGATTTCCAAAATTGTTTTTTCAGCATTCCAAAATTCTGAGGAAGGAACCAAATCATTCACTAGAGGATTTCTACTATTGTGCTTGAGAACTCTTTCAGTTGCAGTACTGAGCACCTTAGAAGGCTTTATAATCTCAACAGGCCTCAATTCTGATAATATTGAACATAAGCAGTCCCTCTCGAAATTATCTTCAAACTAATCCATACAAAAATGGAAAACATGAGAACACTAGAATTGACCCAAATCTTTCAATGCATTGAAACAATTATTTTAATGCTTATGCATGCTAGTTCAACCACTTTAAGTTAACATAATAATCACAAACCTGTCCCAACATGAATTTGCTGGTTGAAACATCCACAACACAAATGCCAAGCACTGTGCCTTGCGTATTGTGCTCATCAAATTTTTGGCTTTTTTCAGTGACTGACATCAAGTAAGAAGCATCTGGACGTGTTAACAATTTCTCCCCCTCAACAAGTGTTCCCTTAGTGACAACAGCACAAATTTCTCGCTTAACAACCTTCAGAAAGCAGAAAAACGTCATCAGGATTCAGCTAAATAATATAAAACAAGGCTAGTATCTATCTGATGGACTGGAAAGCGAATTCATAAAAGTGACTAAAAGAAAGCTTATATAGTGCTAAAAGGTTAAATAAACCATTCAGAAAACTTGAAAAATGTCATTTCATGTCTTGGATGCAGTAGACCATGAGGATAGATTTCACACCAACCACATAATAAGCTTTAGCAGTTTCAAAACAAAAAACGAAACTCCAAAACCTAGACACGCATTAAATAAGCATCACAAAAGCTAATTCAAGTAGTGAGAAAAGAACAAGCATGACATGGTCAGGCCAGTGCATACACCATCAAGGACGAGTTCAGAAGAATGTTCTTCTCTGGAAGAATACAGTTTACACTACTTACATACTGTTAAAGTTCAAACTGTAAGCTGTCAAATATGATTTCTCCATATGTTCATCCCTAGAAATAGATTTAGCTACAAATCCTCCTCAACTTCACATTTAATAATAGGTCCCTTTTATCTGCATACAGATTTCACGCAGATCATCCAAAACATAAATATTAACTTGCGGATTTCTTCAACAATTCATATAGACCTATGATTAATATAAGCCAAACAAGTTCCAGATTGCCCAAAGGCAAATAGGAAGCCTAGAGGAACCTAAAGCAAAACATAATTCAAGGCCCTAAAGTTCAAGCTCCAAGGAAACCTATAGTAAAAGAACATGACAATATGGATGGCTTGCATAAAGTCCTAAGTTCAAAAAAAAATCATTTAAAGTCCGAAGAATTTGAAATTATATGTGGAAACCCATGTATACAAGAAAAACTAACCTGGAATCCAAAGCTTTAGTTATGTTAAATCCCAAAATCAAATTTATAAATAACATTTAATCAAGCCTCTGGAAATTCTGACATCCACATCAACTTACCCTATGGGCATGTTTAGGGTAGTTCTCAACTTTGTCTTTCAAACCACTGCCACACCTCAATTTATGGTTGTTTGGCTAACAACATTTGAAGTGCACTTTTAGTCATTCTCCAATAAGAATAGACTCATGGAAGCCCATCTCTCCCTTCAGTTTCCAAGCTTCTCGCCAACTCTTTCAAGCTTTTAGAATGAATAATTTACCAACTTTCCCCTTACAGTTTATGAAATTACATATGGATGCATGCCTATAATCTCATGACATAGCCTTGCTTCCCTTGAACCATCCATATTGCGATTCCCATCATCTCTGATGAGAGAAGAGTTCAACACCAAAGGAAACATAATGAATCTCCAAGGTACTTCTCCAAAGACTTTCATGCAACCCCAATGTAGTGCTCTCTGAGGCTTTCTTTGGAGATTCCGTATTAGAGGTTCGATGTATTTAGTTTTATGTGGCTTTATTCAGCACAAGCTCGGGCCAAAAAGCTCTCGCAACCTATTGTGTCCACTAACATTCCTTCTCGCACTAATTATTTGCATTCCAACTACCTACACTCTTTTAACAAGCCACAAATATTCTTGGTAAAACCTTATAAAAATTTCTTGAAAAGCATAGATCTAATTGTTTATATTTCTTTTGTCTTTTCTTCTAATTTGACATAAGAAATTTAGTTTTTTAATCTTTGAGTTCTTAAAAAAACATGTCTCATTTGGATGTTGTTCAGTATGTAGTTTCGTAAGGACTTGACAATAGTTTATTAAAGCAGTGATTATTGACAAAACTTTGCATCAAACTTTGCAAGACCTATAGTTACACCTAGGGATAGTCCTTTTAGATGTTCAAAGATCAAAGTGGTTTAACCAGCTTTCGGCTTCTCATCAACTCATCCAAAGAGATTCACTTGGTACTGAGAAAAAAAAGTACTTTTCTTTACCTGTTCTCAATATACTCTTCTGTCATATACATAATCCAGACATCCTAGTTTAAATAGGCCCAATCTAATTTTCCTTTCTAAAATTCATTCTTGTTTATGTACTAACTTGATATGTTCTATTTTATTATTGATTATCAAGTTCATGTTGCAATATTTATCGGATGTTGTTAATCAGGAATGTTGTATTTACTCTCATGACATAATATAAGATTGGATCTAAAAATCATATACAAATCATGGGCTACAAATATGACAGGACAATCAACAACTATGAAGCCTACCAACGAAGAACGTACAAACATATTTCACAAGGCATAAATGACAAATGGGTCCACATATATCATAAAGCACTAGTTTATTTCTTTTATTCTATTTTTTGTTTTATTTTAGGAAGACAGATTCTATATTGAACATTTGATCTACCCACTACTCTCTTATTATAATGAAAGACTTACGGAATGACTAAAATTATGGCTTCCCCATTTATAGTCTCTATTCCCTTTCCTTCTTCTCTAAGGATTCTACACCTACTCGTAAGGTGTTTTCCCCTTCTTGATATGGATCAAGAAGCACATCAATAGCACTCTCATTGAGACAGACCTCATGCCATTGCAAGAGGTTTCTTCTCTCAGTTGTTCCTCTTCTTTTCCCACGGTCAAACAATCAAATTATGCATGTCTCATCTTCCTAGGGCCTCAAATTTCCTCCAGCAAACAGCCTCTAAGAAACGTTCTGGAGAGTTCTTTCAGCACCCTGCCTTCAGCCTTCTAGTGGGCTCAAGAAAAACGACGCGTCGACATGAATCCCGCTTTGCAAACATATGATTCTATTCCTCCTAAGTCAGATTGTAGTTAACCACATTTCTCCTGAGGGTAGTGGCAGGGTTTAATTAAATATGGGTTCTTATTTCCCATGAGAGCAAGCACTCATACTTAATTATCCCTCTTAATGCATAAGAGAGAACTCTCAATTAAGGATGAACAATTAGTTGTTTTAGTCACAATTGTGAGGCAAAATGGAGGTAAACCCGATCAAGATCTCATGGTTTCATCATCCCAAATATACCGTAGGTTTCAATCTACCAACACTAACAATCATTGACCATAGTGTCCAAGGAATTTGATTAGCAGCCATGGGTACCTCCTCTTAGAGATCCTAAGTAGATTGATCATTAGAGGTAGATTTTAGTTTTATTGGGGTTATGGGGTTTACATCTATTAGAATGCCTAAAAATTAATTTGATTTGAGATTTATAACTTCATTTAGAAGCTACCCAGAAGTTTTAATTGAAGCGGGTCTTACGGCTTCTTTTAGAAGTAACCCATGTATTTAAATTTAGATTGAGACTTACGACTTTCATTGAAAATAGCCCGGGTGTTTAAATTTGGCTCGGGATTTATGTCTTTCATTTAAAGTAGCCCGTAAAGCGGGTCTTACGGCTTCTATTAGAAGTAGCCCGCCTATGAGTCTTATAATTTAGTCTTATAAGCTAAGATGCCCATAGGTTCATATTTAATTTGAGAGTTTAATATTTCTCATAGGGGTTTCTCTCAAATAACAGGTCTTACAACTTCTTTTGGATTATGCCTGAAGATGGATTTTTCAACCTAATCCTTTAGATTAAGATGTGTTAGACCGGTTCTCTGTGAACCGTCCCAGAACCAGCGGCAGAACCAGCCGCTGGTTTATAGGAGGCGGAGACTTCCGCCTCCTTTAAATGGCATTGCTTAATGTGGGCGGGCCCCACTTCTCCAAAGGTTTTGAATGTTCAAACAGAGTGGGGAAATGGGGTTTTGGGAGGGAAATTAAAATAGGAAATATCTTGTATTAAAGGGGATGAGGGAATTAGGGAGTTTTTCATGTTTTGTTTGATTTCAATTAAGGTTTTCTTGGAGGCTTGGGCTCTAGAACGAATTCTAGAGATTGGGAGAGTGTGATAGATCCTCCTCTCGAATAGAGGATCTTTGTATCTTTGCAAGTTTTCTTTCATCTACTAGTAAAGTACAATTGTTTGGGCAAGTTTTTCTCCATTTTTCTCTCAGTTTTTTCTCTGTTTTGGTCCAGATTTTACTGTTTTCTTGCTGTAAACAGCAGGAGTTATCACGAATTGCTTCAGACTTTGGTTAGGAACTACTTGAAATCAAGTATTTCCTATCAAGATGCCTGATAGTTTTGTTTTGACAGGTCTTACGATTCCCTTAGAAGTTGCATGTTATATTTTGTTTGTTGGTAGATTTGACAGCAGTTGTTTGCTAGCTTGACAATAGACTGTATTTTTCAGTTGCTTAGTTTTCTAGATTGATTTCGGCAACCTCATAGCATCCCCTCCCCTTGCGGGGAGGTAGGGACGACATTTGTCGTTATCTCTTCTTGCCCCAATCAAAGATCAACGGCGCGAGTTCTTTGAATTTTAAGTCATTCTACCCAAATCAAAGATCAACAGCATAGAGCCTTCAGTTTTGATATTTATCTCGCCCAGATCAGATATCAAGGGCATGAGGCATTCAAATCTGAAACCATCTGCCCGGATTAAAATCATGGCGCGTGTCTTGGAATTGGTGAATACCTGTTATTTTTTTAATATATAAATATAAATAATGATAATAATAATAATAATAATAATAATAATTGAATTACATGTCGATTTACTTAATCGTTTATATTCCTGTCCATTAGAGTAATCATCTATGTGGGCAAAGGCTGCAGATTCAATTAACTAAGGACAAGATGATGCATTGTTTTGCTTTAAGATAACAATCATGTATATCTGAGGCAATTCACCTATAGCAAGCAAACAAGGATTTTCGAACTAGTGAGAATCATGCAGAAGGCCAAGTCTGAAGTCCGAGCATGGTGACGAGCGGTGCAGGCGTGCGAACTCGGCGCTCAACGGATTGACGTTGAATCGGGCAGACTACATGCATTGGACGCAGACAGAGTCGCTATACAGGTCCGACTTGTGTGGGTTGTTCGCGCGTAGGAGAGGCGGAGTGCGTGGCTCACGACTCACGTGAGAAAGTTATGAGAGATCTGTCTAGCGAGCAAGGGTGTAAGCCATCGAAACAAAGCCAATGTGCAACAGGTGGGTTCCAACGTTCGTGTGTGTTGAGGTGAGAAACGCAGGATGAAAGCAGGGCATCACGTGGAGGAATCATGAGCGTCGGGCTAGGGCTTAAGTTCAACAATAGAAACAAAGGAAGCATTCTCAGAATGGGCAAAGCAGCGGGAGGCGGTTTCGAAGGAGATCTGAATGGTGACTATCGTGAGGCAGGCAGGCCAATGATTGGAAATTTGCTTACGTGTTTCGAAGTGAAGAGGCTAAGCTTTGTGCCAAATAACTAAAGGCAAAGAACAGAGTTAATTAATTAATACCAACAGGATAGAGCAATTGAAATAAGCATAAGTTTCTCCTCTATTCTGTCTTTTTATTGATTTAATTAACGAACAAATACGTCATTTGAGTGTAACCATATGAAGTGGGGTCGAATCACAAGTTTGAAGAGAAACATCTCTTCATTTATTTCCATTTTTTTTTTTACTTCATTCCATTTTTTTTTTATTAATATTCAGCACTCCTAACAGCCGCCGCAGCATCTCAAGTTCAAGAACCATTCAGCCGCACCTGATCCTGTTTTCAGCCGTTGTTCCAACAGTTACTAGCTGCTGATCCTGTTTCCAGCAGTTAAGAGCTGTTTACAGTAGTTTTGTTCCAGCAGCTATATCCAGCCCTTCTTCTCAGCCCAAGACCTGCAATAGCAGCACCTGTCCACTTCTTCTAGCTTCTGTTTCAGCTCCCAGAAATTCAAGAACAACAGTTTTCCACTTCTTGCTACTGTTTCAGCCACATTAACCACTGGATTGCAACCACTGTTTTCAAGAAACAGCAACCCTTATTTCAACCACAGTTTTCCATCAGTCGGCACTACGACAGCCCAAACAACGGCTATTTCTAGCCCAGCAGGTCCTCCAACAGCAGCAGCAACCTTTTGTCCTTCTACTCCACGGATCAGTTGTTTACCACATTATTGAGTAAGGTCAATTTCCTCAAGCTCATCCTTAGTACGTAGGTTTTCAGAGCCTAGCATAAACCTGTGCATTGGTAGAATTTCCTTTGGGTGGATGGCTAATGATGTAGCTCTGACTTGGTTGTGTAATTGAAACTCCATATGTTAAGAAAAAGGCGTCTCACATACTTGATCTAACTCTTTCCTTGTATAGCCAAATAAATATTTATTCATCTTTTGATAAATAATTTAATTCATTCTTAACCCTTTTTCTCCTAAAAGCTTTACAGGAGTTGCTCTTTATGGGGCCTCAACCCCGACAAACAATGCCCAACCTTTTCTGTTTAAAAATATTCCATCTTCATCCAAAAACTTCTACCTATAGCATTTCCTACAAAAATTTTACAACGAGTTTTACAAGCAATAACAGCCACCTCAAACTCACCCAATGTCTGCTATTTCTTTTATCATGTTCTTTGATCCTCTATAAACAACTAGGAAAAGCCCATTTTCAATAAATGTTAGCCAGTTCTATAATCTAAATAACTAAATCTTACATTAACCCCAAAAAAAAACAACATCGAGTCCTAGGGGAGGGACTGAGCCTCTGCTGGAAAAGCACAAAGTTTGAGATCAACATACCATATCTTAACATAAAATTTAACTTCTTTAGCATGGGCTTATATTGAATCTTAAAACTAATATCAAATAGTGATTAAGGAATTCGGAAATAGAATTAGTATTGCAATCACCATAAAGATTATATAGGACTCAACTATTAGAAAAAATTCCTAGTGCCTAAAACTAACCTTATCTTTGGTGCCCATTTCTTTCCGACGAAGTTCAAGCTGCTCAGGTGTTTCAGTCTGCTCCACAACGAGAACCCGATATCCCTTCAAATCAAGTACATAAAAGTGAAGATATCAACATATTGATAAAAAAAGTAGAAATAAAAATTCAATAGAGATTTTCAAGCATAAAGTCGCACCTTCATGGCCAATTTTTCCAAATTCATTAAGAAGTTCTTTTCAGGGAACCCGCAGTGAGGTTGGTCCCCCTAGGAGTAATTTTAAGAACAAAAAAGAGAAGAGTTAAATGCTGAGAGACAAGCAATTAGAATAAATCTAGCAATTGCTATAGGAAACCAAACCATTAAAAAAAATCAAAAGTGCCACAAATATCCTATAAATTTTTGGAATCAATCTGCGCACTCGCCAAAACCATAACCAGGCTCAAATAAATTAGTGCTTTAGTTAAATTACATGAAATACTCTAGAAACTTCCATTGAACAATGCAATTAGATAAGCTCCTCCCTTCCCTTGAAGCTACTTATGTAGGCTGCCATCCAATACAGACTAAAAGATAATAAGAGATATAGTGCCTTACAATAATACTCACGATATCATTTTCTCAAATAATGGGGTACAAACTTATTCTTCTCAGTTCAGAATACGAGAAAAAAACATCTATCCAAGATTGACCACAACATCATTGTTTTATCAAGTTGTGGCTAGGGTCTCAATTTTCGTAAAGAATGTCTAAGCTAGACAATAGCAATTTTTCTTTCAAGTCTATCGGAACATAACAACTTGTAGAGTAGAAACCATCGGATGCATTCAACCTTGCTCAAAACTCAATTTATAATGGTTTAGAGAAAAGGGTAGATTTACCTCATTTGCCTATGTAAAAGCCTATGTTCGTTTAGCATGAGCAAGTGAGCAACTTACCTTTCTCATTAACATATCCATTATTGTCTATGTTGTTCATTCTTTGTTTGGTTTTACTCCAAATTTCTCATTTCTTTTTTTTTCAACAGGCTACAGTGTCGATTTAGATTTTTTTTTTTTTAAAGAAGGCTACAGCATCGAATTAGAAAATTTTTTGACATCTTTCTATTGTCATTTATTTGGCAAAAAACTTTTTCGACATCTTTCAAATCTTCAAAAAAATTAATAATTACATTGTCAAACTTTGGGGGTGAATTAGATACTTAATTTTATTTTTCTAAAGTCCCTATGTCAGTGGTTTTTATTGCTTTCCTCAAAAGGGTGACTGTTGACTGGTTCTTTAAGCATCATTCAAGGAGGAAGTTAATCATAGGCTGACTAGAGATCCTCAAAAAGAGATCAAAGCATAACTAACTGACCCACAACTATAGCAGATTCATTAGGCGGTTGCCAGAGCTTCATAAGGCCTTTGGCCATGAAAACTATTTAAATTAATATTCATTAACTAATATATTACTTTTTATTTGCTCATAATAAGGATGAATAAAGATTTGGAAGGACTCTTAAGAATGGTATTTTGGCATATAGAAAGAAAGTTAGGTGATTCAAAAGTAAACAAGAAGAATTTGAAGTGAGACATTTAATATAAGACGCTTTGCTTGGTATGTATGTCAATATCCATCAAATGTATTATGTGTAATGGATTCGTGTAACAAAGGTAAATTATAAAATAACCATAGGCAAAAAGAGAGACACCGTTTACCTTCATATACTGAAGATCAAGTTCTCTGGCTCCAATATGTGCATCCATTTCAAATAATTCATAGAACTTTCCCATCTGTTAAAAGTAAGTAAATGTTTATGTTTCCTTCAATTCAAAAAGAATGTTAAATAAATTAAATGTTACTGTCACGGTTGTCCAATTACCTTGAAAAACAAAACTTTGTCCATGTGCTTCGACTTAAACTCCCACCATTGCCTCTATATGGCAAATGTGCCAATAAATAACAAGCAACAGAAAAGCAAAGAAAACATTCACGCACACAAAACCAACTACCTGTCCACCAGACAAACTCTTCAAGAACTCCTGCGGCAGGTAAAGGGTTCTTGGATCATAGTCTTCATCTCCTGGGCGCCTTCCATGTGCATCCTTCCGTTCTCTAATAACAACAAAATATACATCAGATGAAAAAAGCATATACAATTACGCTGAATAATTGCAATTTATCCTAACTAAATCACGTTCTTTGATCAATTAATCAGACCCCACCAGAATCTTATATAATGAGCTCTGATTAAGACTTTGATGATGAAGAATCGAGTGTAATATCTTAGCTCTCCTAGATGCACATAAAAGTAGAGTTGTAATAATACTCCATTGTGATACGCCCTAGGGTTTCACAATTTCGGTTTTGCCCTAATTTCCCCCAAAAGAGAGGAAGTTCTCCACCAAAACCAAAGAGAAATAATCACAAGATTGTTGGGATGAGAAATAAGAACCTTTGCATTAGAAATCCAAGAGAAAACAAGATAAGTTTGTCCACTTCGAGAAGGACAAGATCTCCCACAAGAAAACCCTAGAAAAGAACAAGAAGGAAACTAGAAGAAAAAAACTAGAAAGAGAATACACTTTTCATAATGCCCCCAATAAAACCCTAATGGCCCCCTTCATACAATCCAAAAGTCCCTCACATCCCCAAATTACCCCCACTTAAGTGGGTGGGCCCCTTTTTTGTCCAGCCGGTCCGCCCGCCTCCTATAGACCCGCACGGGTCTAGGATGGACCGGGTGAACCGGTCCATCAATACCGCCCTCTAGAAGATCAACCTTGTCCTCAAGGTTGAAATCTGGAAATTGCGCCTGCATGGCTTCGTATATCTCCCAAATAGCCTCGTGTGTCACTAAGTCCTTCCACTCGATGAGAACCTCCCTTTTGCCTTGATCATTCTTCCTCACTTCCTTCACCTGTAGTGGCTCTAGTAAGAATTAAATATCTTCTTTGAGGCCCTGGGGTATAGTAGGAATGGCCACGGTATGATCCCCTATGCTCTTCTTCAATAGTGATGCATGGAATACAGGATGGATGGAGGAATGAGGAGGCAACTTGAGACGGTAGGCCACCATCCCAACTTTCCTTTCGATCTCGAAAGGCCCGTAGTATCGAGGAGAGAGCTTTTCACTTCTTATGCTAGCTAAAGTCTTCTGTCGGTAAGGTCGTAGCTTCAGGTATACCATCTCTCCCACCTCAAATGTCACATCCTTGCGGTGAGCATCCGCCTTGGTCTTCATGATCTGTTGGGCTCTCAATAGGTGTTCCCTCAATTCTCCCAACACCTTATCCCTCTCCTCCAAGTATTGATCCACTAAATATACCGGGGTCGTCCCCTTCTGATAATTCACCAACGGTGGTGGATCCCTTCCATAAAGAATCCTGAAAGGTGTGAACTGAATTGCGGTATGGTAACAAGTGTTGTACCAGTATTCTGCCCATGGTAGCCATTTGACCCACTGCTTAGGCCTCTCCCCAACGAAGCATCTCAAGTACGTCTCCACGCTCCGGTTCACCACCTCTGACTGTCCGTCTGTCTGTGGGTGGTATGCTGTACTGCGCTTCAAGAATGTACCCTGCATTTTGAAGATCTCCTTCCAAAAAGAGCTCAAGAATACCTTGTCCCTATCTGAGACAATAGAAGTGGGGACCCCATGCAATCTAACCACCTCTCTGATGAAAGTAGATGCTACAGTAGGAGCTGAAAAAGGGTGCCGTAGTGGAATGAAATGGCTATACTTGCTCAACCGGTCAACTACCACCATTATGACCGTATACCCATCAGACTTGGGTAATCCCTCAATGAAATCCATGGTAACTTCCTCCCAAATCTTGTTTGGAAGCACCAAGGGCTGCAGCAACCCACTAGGGGCACAAGCTTGATACTTGTTCCGTTGGCAAATGTCACATTTGCTTACCATGTCTTCGACATCACCTCTTAACCCTTTCCAAAAAAATTCGGCTTTCACCCGCCGATAAGTCTTCTCCACCCCTGAATGTCCACCAACACGGCTATCGTGGTACTCCCGTAGAAGAATGGGAACAAATGCTGAGTCACGGTGTAGTACCAATCTCCCCTTGTATAATAAAAGAGAGTTCTCCAGGTGATACCCTTTGAACCCTCCTTCTCCCTTCTGGATAGCCGCCCGAATTCTCTCTAGCTCCTCTACATGTTGATTTTCCTTCACCAATTCACCCCAGTCTACCAATTGTGGTACAGATAGTGCCATCAGCTGTGAGCACTCCACGCGGGAAAGAGCATCCGCCGCCTTGTTTTGAACCCCTGGCTTATACTGAATCTCAAACTCATACCCCAAGAGTTTGGCTAACCACCTCTGATGTTCTTCTGCCACTAATCTCTGCTCCAGTAAGTACTTCAGACTCCGCTGATCAGTACGAACTACAAATCGTTGTCCCAATAGATAAGGCCGCCATTTTTGAATAGCCAACACAATGGCCATCAGTTCCCGCTCATAAACTGATTTTAGCCTTGCTCTATTTGATAAGATCCGGCTGAAGAAAGCAATCGGCCTATGATTCTGCATGAGTACCGCTCCCAAACCCACTCCTGAAGCGTCAGTCTCAACCACAAACTGTTGGGTGAAATCTGGAAGTGCCAAAACCGGGGCACTAGTCATGGCTTTCTTCAGGGTCTTCATGGCCTCCTCCGCCTTTTCTCCCCACTGAAAATTGTCCTTTTTTAACTGATCAGTCAGAGGACCTGCTATGGAACCATAGCCCTTGATGAACCTCCTGTAGTAGCCCGTAAGTCCCAAAAATCCCCTTAGTCCTTTAAGGGATTTTGGTGTAGGCCAATTCACCATGGCCTCTATCTTGGTGGTGTCAGCTGCCACCCCACTCTCTGAAATGATGTGTCCCAGATACTCCACCTCCTTCTGAGCGAAAGAACACTTCTTTTGGTTGGCATATAGCTGATGCTCTAATAAGGTCGTGAGTACCACCCCAAGATGGGTGATATGGTCCTGCAGAGATTTGCTATACACCAATATATCATCAAAAAAGACTAAAACAAACCTCCTCAAGTAGGGCTGGAAGACCTGATTCATCAGGGCTTGGAAAGTGGAGGGAGCGTTAGTGAGCCCGAACGGCATCACCAGAAACTCATAATGGCCCTCATGTGTTCGGAAGGCCGTCTTCTGAATGTCTTCAGTCCTCATCCTAATCTGGTGATAACCAGACTTCAAGTCCACCTTGGAGAAGATGGTGGCTCCTCCAAGTTCATCCAAAAGTTCATCTACCACAGGAATAGGGAACTTGTCCAACACAGTCTCCTTGTTGAGGGCCCGGTAATTTCTCTACCGCCGCGAATACTCCTGGACGCAACAATGTTATAAGCTAAACAAGTTATCATGAAATTGATTTATTATTGCTTGACATTTTTACTATAATGTCACCTTAATTTTTATATATTATATTAAAAAATTATTATGTCGTGTCCACGCCGCACCCGTGTCCTAAATTTTTTAAAAATTGTCGTGTCCCGTGTCCGTGTCCGTGTCGCCGTGTCCCGTGTCCGTGTCGTGTCCGTGTCGCCTTGTCCTTGTCGGTGCATCATAGATCCTCCTAAGTTTGGCAAACTAGACTCATTGGTATACTCAGGACAACGGAATCATGGGGTCCTCAAAAAAATCTACCTGCACCCCCACCCTTCCTTAAAACCAAATAAAAAATATTCTCATGAATTAAATTCAAACCTATATATTAAATCTAATATCAAAATGAGTCTAAGCAAATTCCTTAATCAAGAGTGCTCTACCATAAGTGAAAGAAGTAATTAACTATCGGAGCTTCAACCTATAGGAAGTATCAAGTATCAACTAAATATCTGAGAAAATAATAGCAAAATATTAGGAGAAACACGCTTAAAAAAAGCTCAATCTATCTCAAGGAGAATTACTTCAAAATTTCTATTGTGCACATTAAGGATGCCTCTTGACTTTCCTAAGTGATAAGTAGTATCTTTCAAGATGCATATTAGTCTTTCAGTATTTTTATAACTTGCTACAAATCATTTTATCCATTTGCAAGGTTTTTCCTAATATGCATGAAACTATTCATTGAACATCAACGGTTAGATTGATAATTATAAAGTTTTTTCTTATGTGAAGAGTAAATATGTAAAATTTAAACCTCAAGATAAAGTGATAGTGTGTATAAATTCAAAAAGGCTTCTTTCATTGAAAGCAGGGTCTAAAATAAAAATTTTGCCATTTAATTTCAAAAACTGGTTGCCAGATTCTTAAATTTTGTCTTTTCATCTCCTCCTAATATATATGCATCGAAGACTCTCCCAAACAACACTATATAGTTTGATCTTGAAGAAATTTTAGATGAAGAGGTATCCAATGTTGATTATGGGCATAAAAGATATCTTGTGCACTTGCTTGACCATCTATTTATGACAAACATAGATTATTCTACAATAACAACATCATCAAGCCTTTATCCCACTTCATGGGATTGGCTAGATGAATAAATTTTCTCCATTGTTTTATAAAGAGTCAAATTCTCGTTTAAATCCAATAAAGAATGATCATTTCTAATATTTTCTAAAAAAATCTTTTTAGGTCTACCTCTACCTTTCTTAACATAAGTCAAATCTAATACATCTACTCTCCTAACCAGGTTATCAAAAGGTGGCCATTTTATGTGACCAAACCATCTAAAGCAACACTCTGTAATCTTATCTGTCACTGGAGCTACTCCAACTTTTTCACGTATATACTCGTTTCGTATCATGTCTCTAAGAGTAAAGTCACTCATCCACCTGAGCATCCTCATCTTCCAATACTTAACTTAATATTATGCTTATCTTTTAATGGCCAACATTATGCGCCATAAAGCATTGCAGGTCTCACCACCATCACAAATTATTCTACAAAAAGCAATAAATTTAAGCACAATTTCACGTGAAATATCATTGGAACAATATTTGTTCAAGTCAACCGCATTTTTACGGAGATAGGCATGTTTGCATTTGGCATAAATGCCAATAAAATTTCATCTGAGCAGGTTAATTTAGTTATTTGATTTTATTTTACTTCATATTTTTTAAGTTTCAGATACTTTGATCATCCTTATGGTGATCACTATAAAGAACATATCGTTTGTATTATCTAATGTCTATGTTGGTTTGATTCAGTTACATTATTAAACCAAGCAATTGTTGCGATGATTTTGATGGACAATGATTAAATTTCTTCATGGACTATGAGGTGTGATTATTGAGAAGTTCTTTGTTTCTTGTATTGGACCTTGAAGTTGAATGCAAGAATCTTGATATCATGTTAAAAAGACATTTAGTTGAATCCTCATGGAATTTCTATTGATTTTTTGCCAAGTGGGTAGCCATTTTGGCTGTTCCATGATTGCTGTATAAACTAAATTCACAACCAGATATTGTTCTTTTTATTGGGACTTTGGTTCCTGGGGCTTGAGCTTGTTATGCGTTGAGCTTGTTACTGGATTCCAAGTTGACAGCTTTGACTCTACAGATGAAAGAATTAGTGATTTTGTTAAACAGAAATCAACTCCAGGAAATACTTCCTGAACTTTAGGCGTTGTTTCCTAAGGTGCCATCAGTTTCAAGATAAGATTATCTGTGTATTTTGCTGATATTTTAGATGTAATTTGGAAATTATAGGTGAGTCGGTGACTATAAATAGGAGTTCCTCAATGAAACATTATCATTTGATTCAATAAAATTTCATATTCCAAATTTCAATCATGTATGTATCTTGGATGTGTGACTCCTTTGAGTGAAGTACAAGCGCAACTATCTAATTTATGGAGAAGTCATGATGTATAACTATATATGCAAGTGATGTTTGGAAATTATGCATGCTTGAACAGAGCTTAACAATTTATTAATTCACCATGAATTTAAGCAAAGACTTCCGCATGCAAGGGGGCAATCAAGTTTACGAAAACAATCACATGCTAATGAAAGGACCATTAAATAACATATTAATTAATAACATGCACATGTGGTGTTTCAGAGACAATCCCTAAGTTAACAAATAAATTAGTGACTACAAAGGCCCATTTACATAACGCTTTTGGTGTGGGCTAAGTGAAAAAGCTTTCAGAATAAAATGACGCCATGATTGAGGAGAGATCAAAAAGATACAAGGGGGGCAAAGGTCTACCCGCATGTCAGAAGATACTAAGCCACGGTGAAGTCGTTTGGCTGCCTATGTAAAAAGGACAGCAGTACAAACCCTCTTGCACGCCCGGACAGCACTCTAATGTCTGTGAAAATTATGTACAGCAACTGTGGAATTCAAGGCTTGTAGGAGAATTCGAATTTGAATTCAAATTCCCAAAATTAACACTAGGATAATTTAGGAAGAGGAATTAATTAGGATCTCCAATTAATATTCAAATTGATTGATTGGGATATCTTTCCAAACATAACCCAACAATTTGAGAAAGGATTTCAAAGTTTTAGGGGATTTCAAATTTGGATTTCAGATTTTTCAAAATAAACACTAGGCTAATTTAGGAAAGGGAATTAATTGGGATCTCAAATTAATATTCAAATTGTTTGAATGAGATATATTTCCAAACATAACCCAATCATTTGGGAAAGGATTTCAAGGCTTTAGGAGATTTCAAATTTGAATTTCATATTTTCAAAAATTAACACTACGCTAATTTAGGAAGGGGAATTAATTGGGATCTCCAATCAATATTCAAATTGATTGATTGGGATATCTTTCCAAACATAACCCGAAATTTTGGGAAAGGATTTGAAGGCTTTAGAAGATTTCAATTTTGAATTTCGGATTTTTCCGAAATTAATGCTAGTCTAATTTAGGAAAATGTTATACGATCAATTTGAAATTTTGGGGGGAAAGGGAAGAAAGGGTCATGATGGCTTCAACCATGGGAACAAGGAGGTGGTCGGAGGCTATGAAGAGGGGGGGAAAGGAGAGGTTGTGCATGGTCAAGGCAAGGAGGAGAAAGGAGGTGGTCGGTTGGAGCTTTGTGAGGAGATGACAGTAACGGCAAGCTCAATAGGGGTGGAGGCAGAGATAACCCGTGAGCCCGGAGGCTTCCTGCGGCCGAAGGTTCTTGCTTTGCCCTAACCTAGAGACTTCACATAAGCTCTGACAAGAACTCTCAAGGCTCTCAAACACACCTAGACACAAAGTGCATAAATTTTCATTCATAATAATCATCATCCCTCCCAAGGGAGAGGTGAGGCCTATAAATAGACAAAATACAATAAAATATCAAATGTTAAGAGTATCCCCTGGGGTCACATAAACATACTCCCTCAAGTGAGGGTATAAATGAAAAATTACACATAATAAATCAAATACAAATAATTGCTCAGAATAGAGCAATCTGATCCTAGTCGTAGATCTCCGGCCCTTCCTCTGATAAACCTTCCACGGTCGGATGTCCTCATCAAGTCATTTGCTTGTATTGGCATAAAGCCCAAACTTTTCTTTAATTTGTTGAATTATTTCCTTTACATAGTTGTAACATGCTAGAGTTTTTTATTTTGTTCAAATTTGTTACAGCTAGAATTTAAATTGTTGAAACTACCCATTTCTTGTTAATTTTTTTTAAGTAATTCAATCATTGTATCATCATTTGGGTCCTCATTATTGTATTTTTTTGTTTGCTTCAAAAGAAAATAAGATTTTAATTGGTAGTCTTGATTTGTGAATCCTAATTTCCTTTATAATTGCATTAGAAAGCCTAGACCCTTAATTATCTGCATCATAGATTCACATTATAAGTATATTAGGGAAAAAGATTAACTCAGGATATCCTAATCAAATTTTTAGTCAAGATAAATCTCAACCAATGAATTTGCTTCGAGATGAGTATGACGACTTTGAGACCTATCATAACTAACATTTAGTCAAGACATCTCACCCAAATATTTTCAAAGCTAATATTAGCTTTCACTTAAACTAGGCCTTCTACTGCTTGTACTTATGCCATCTTTTTTTTTTTTGCACAAAATTTATATGAGACACTGGATAAACAATGCCTCGTACCTACCTTCCATAATGCTCAATCCCAAATCATAACGCTATCAGATGATAGATTTCAGGTGGCAGTTTCATTGAATGCTACAAATATCTAAATAACTTGATTTAATGCATAGTTGACTCTAGAAGAAGAAATATTTGAAGCATATATCGAGTGCCAAAGTTAAAGCAGGCCAAACTACAGCCAGTTTTTTCCTCAATTTCAAGCTTACTCGGAAATTCATTACCTCGGTTTTGTAATCAATAGCATCCTCAGCGCCAACTTCCATAACACGTTCAATACTCTTACTTCCACAGATAGTTGACACACTGCAGCCTGCAGCTACAGCAAGTTGAATTGCAGATAATCCAACAGCCCCACCTCCACCTAATACCAGTAATCTCTGGCTGAAAAGTACATTATAATAGTAAGAAAAGCAAGCAGAATAAAAACTTTAAATATTAATTCCTTCGAAATTAGTCCATAAATATTTGGCACAAATATTCCATGTTTAGACCACATATCTTACAATGTTTATGTAATGAGACGGCTTCTCATTTATCGAACAGGGAAACATCTAAGTAAAACTTCACAAATCTATGCAAAGCAACTTTGTGAAAATTCTAGACAAAAAATAGCATCTTTAAGGCATTTTTTGTTTATAAATTGACTGAAGGATCATCTTTACCACTTTATAATATTTCAGTTATCTTCAAAATAATGTTATCCATGATAGGTTTAAGGCTCCTGAGCATCCATACCAATTCTTTCTTTAAATTCCTACATGCCAACACATAGAATTGCTAAAGGCCGGTATGAACAAAGCTAAGGAAATTTCCTTGAGATCTGGAGATCAGGGTTTCAAGTTACAAAACAGCCTCTTCACAATGCAAAGATAAGACTGCACATATGAAACCGACAGCAAACTAGACATTGGTAGGAACAACACGTATTGGCAAAGCCACCACATCTGTTTGCACATTCGTGTGTCAACAGAGGCAGGACACTTAAGATGAAAACTTGACAACTTTCCAGTTCATGTCCTTCAAAACTGACATGGCTAAAATAAGGATAGAAATATAATTCAAAATTCTCATGCAAGCAGTCGCATGAACTTTCGAAACAAGAAGGTGCTCAACTATTCCTCTTTCTAATTGTTTATACATTTCCTACAATCGTCATTCACATGTGATCGATCTACAGCAAAATTTCTTTATTTGCCTAAATGGTCAAGGTTAATGAAGTTATATGATTAGATATTGAGGATGGAATAATCATAAATCAGGAGCAACATTAGACATTACATTACATTTACAAAATGCTCGAACAATCTTCAAATCTTGATCAAACCTAGTTCGAACCTTCTGTGTACTTTCAAATAATGTTCAAAATATATTTGAGCAAGATTCAAAGATGGTTCAAGCACTCTTTAAAGATGATTCGAACAAGATTTGAACATGATAGAAATAAGTTTCAAATAGAATTTGAAAATAGTTCGAACATTGTTGGAATAAGAGTTAAAGCATAACAAGGTTTGAACATGGTTGGAATAAAGTTCGAACATACAGTGCTCCAGGGGGTCCCTAGTTTGTCGTCGGCAGTCTCATTGGTATGGTACGCTGGACAACTAATTCCTCCCCTAACTCGCTAATGGGCCTCCACTCTTCCATCTAGGTCCTCCTGCCTCAGCTTCCCCTGCTCTACTGGGACGTCATCAACCTGACCATGATCGCTAACTTCATCAGTGAATCACTTTGGATGGACTCTCACACCATCATTTGAGGCCGCTCCACCTCTGCTAGAATGTGTAGTAGACTTGACCTTTCTAAGACTCTCATTCCGGGGATCTGGAATTAAGGCGTTCAAGGTCATTTCTTTCGAAAGATAAGAGTATAAGAAACGTGGTCGTTCTCATGGGACCCTGCCTCCATGGACACTGGGATTATTGAAATGGAAAGTGGTACCTTCTTCCAACCGGAGCACTGGTGTACCACTCAGCCTTCGGGGTTGTTTCAAACTCTTTCGTGGAGCCCCAACTCCTTGTTGGCTTAAGGTGAATGTTGACGAACTGTGGCGGGATCAGCGTAGTGATCCGTAACGATAAAGGGGACCCCATTATTACTGCCGATTGGAGTACCAACATTCAAACAGTTCACATGTTGAACTCCAAGCCATCCTCCACATCAACCATGTTTGGCATGAATGGATGTATGACTCAGTGGGGGTTATTGTCGAGGGTGATAACCTCAGTGTGATCAAGTTCATAAAGGAGTACGTTGATAAGAGGAGGGGAGCTTCTCAACCGCAGTTGGGGGACGAACTCAATTGGATGCACCTTTTCAATAAGGTGCTCTTCCAGCACACGCCACGGGTGTTTAATGCAGCAGCTCACTTTTGTGCCCAAAGGGCTCTACAGTATAATTTTGTTCGCAATTTTGTGGATAGGGATAGGGATAATATTCTTCATGAGTTTTTTGATATCCTGCAGGAGGGTATGAACTTACACGTACAATCTTAGGGTTGTTTTCTTTGCCCTCTTTTGTAGCTGTTTTTTGAGTTAATGAAATATACAAAATTTCAAGGAACCTTAAAATTTTGGCCCGGAACACAAGAACTTTGGGGAGAACTTTCAGTTTGGTGCCCTTCTTTCTCTTTCTATAGCTTCATCTAGTCTGAGAAGCTCTAAGATAGGAGAGGTGGCCCTCGGTCACTTCCTCGCATTGGTAGCAGGGATTGCCGGAGGGATGGCAGTAAAGGCATCCTATGGCGGGAGCTTGCTGAGGCTGTCCGGTGGGAACCATCGGTGCGGAATGAATCTACGTCTCCACCCTATTGGAGCGATATCGTGGACGCAACCAATCACGCAATAAAGTAATGCAGGTCTAAGAAATAGCTTATCCACCATTTCTTGTACAACATTAGAGAAGACAAACTTCTTTCCACCCTTTTTGTCTTCCCGCAAATTTTTTGGGTTTCTTGAAAATATGATGCATTAAGCAATTAAAAAAGGACAAAAGAAGTCCAAACAAAAAGCACCAAATTCTTCACAAAAGACAAGATATGGTGAAGCAAAATGGCCGAAAGAAGAACACAACAAACAAAAAACTAAAAAAGCCCACCAAACTGCGATGAAGGGAGCCGCCAAAAGCCACATGCAAGAATCGCTGGGGGGTGGGCAAGAGGGAAGGCCTATCAGGGGGGCTGCAAAGGACGAAATACCTACCGAGAAGACAAGAAAGCGCCCCAGTGCCCCAACAACACCACCCAAGCCCACCTAACCAGGGGGGCTCCCGTCGTTCGCTTAAGGGGATGACGTCCCGGCCGGCAGAATCGTCAACCCTCTTCATCCTCTACCGGGGGAGGGTCGTAATCAGGCCCAGTTGTAGGAATTCCTTCTGAGTCACCGTCCCCTTGGAGCAGGGCTTTTCTGCTTCGAAAGGTCCAGACTACTGCTAGAAGGAGGCTGCACTGGTCCAATCCTGGTAGCTTTGAAAGTGAACGCAGGAGGCGAGGGAGACGGGATAGATGCTCTAGGCTTAGAGGCCAGCTGCTTCCTAGGCCGATGTTTGCGCTTAACAATTTCCAATCTTCGAGCTCCCCAGGGCGCTCAAGAGGTTGTGTAGGAGAGCCGGAGGTTAACTGGTACTTGGGGGCAGACTGGTGCTTAGCAGCTTTGAGGACATAACCAATGGAAGATCGGGGGGAGGCCCAGAAGGTCGGGCTGGATCATCCGGAGGGGGGCGAGCTGATGGGGCATACAGCCCCGCCTGAGCAGACGTGGGCAGTGCCGACGAAGATGAGTTGTCAGGGGAAGAAGCACAGGGGTTGACCGAATCAGAGGGGCACTTGTCCACGGTGTGCCCAACTAAGCCACAAGCAAAGCAGAAATTGGAGAGGCCTTCGTATTCAACTTTTTGGAAGAATAATCCCTGCACCCCTTTGATCCAAATCTCAGGAAGCAGGGGTTTAGAAAGATCAAGTCTAACACACATCCTTACAAATAAGGATCGTCCCCACGTACTCGTGAGGGAATCCAGCCAAAGAGGTTCACCAATGAAGTTGGCCATGTGGGTCAGATTAGTGACATCCCAGTAAAGGAGGGGGAGCTGGGGGAGACGGATCCATACTGTAGAAAAAAGGCCTTCCAGAGAATTCGGGGCGTAGTCCAGAGTCCATCAGACCATCCCGAGCAGGTTCCCAGCGACAATTTAGGGGCCGCCCTGCAGAACCACATCACGAAGCACGGGGGATTGAAAAATGCAGATAAAGGAGGCGGGGCAAGTGGTAACCAGCTGAAATTCACCAAAATGGTACCATTGCCACTTAAGATCGGAGAGAAGGTAGGCGAAAGGAATCTGGCGGCCGACTAGCTGAGCCACAATGCTCTGTCGAGCTTTTCAGCATTGACGTGAACCGCAACTAGTGCGGGACCATAGAAATCCCATCCACATCAGTGAAGACGTCTGTGTTGAGCGCAGCCAATGGCGTGCATTGGATCTTACTCCATGCATATGGCCTAGATTGAATTGTCCACTAAGGCAGCGAGGAGAAGGACGACGAAGGCCCTGAATTGGCAATGGAGGTAGGTACTTGGTCCATAGACCCGCACAGGAGGGCCCTGGGGGAAGGGGGAGTGGGGTTCTGAGGAGAGGAAGCCCCCACTCCACCCAGTGCAGGCTGGAAGGTCTGGGGAGCTAATAGCGGAAGCTGGCCCGGGGAGAAAGCACTTGCAGATGGCGATTGAGAAGGGGGTGCAGGGCCGGAGGTACGCTCCCTGCCAATTTCAGAGCTACGGCTTTCAGAGGAGAGAGGGTCTTCCATATGCGCAGAGTGGGAAGAGTCTTCTGAGCTAGAAGGGGTGTCCTGCTGGCTAGAAGGGGTGTCCTGCTGGCCAGAAGGGGTGTCCTGCTGGCCAGAAGGGGTGTCCTGTCGGCCAGAAGGGGTGTCCTGCTGGCCAGAAGGGGTGTCCTGTCGGCCAGAAGGGGTGTCCTGTCAGCCAGAAGGGGTGTCCTGTCGGCCAGAAGGGGTGTCCTGCTGGCCAGATGGGGTGCCCTGTCGGCCGGAGGAGTCGGCGAAACTGCAGGCAGGGACATCCATGGGGTCATCGTGAGGAGAGTCAGACTCGCGGGAGTGCATTGGAGGAGCGTCAATGGGAACATGCTAAGTTCGAGACGACGAGGCAAGACAAGAGAGTGGGTGGGACCCTTGGTCCGAGCGGCTGTTTAAAAAGTGGCTCGAGGCGGTAATGATGGGTGGGAATCGGGAATAGTCGGTTCAGCAATACGGGAGCCTGTCCCGTCAAACGTGCCCCCGGATGGGGCGTGAGAAGGCGAGAAATTGGAAGCCACCACCGAATGGTGGTTTTGTTCCATTGCTTTTAACCGCGGGGAGGACGATTGTCGGAAAG